AGTTGACTCTGAAGTTGACTAATAGCTGCACAAATATTGTTCCTTTATAGTTAACTTGACTTAATGGATGCAGTCCTCAGTAGTTCTACAAGAAGTGAAATGCAATTAAGGTTTGAGCATTTCTCTATCATTTTTACTATGTCCCTGACAGTAAAGGCCACTTCTTAAAAATGGTTCTAGAATTGCTTTCAGGGGTAAGGTTGCTTTCTTCAGTTCGTTTTCCTTTTGTGCCAAACGTCTGCGCGTGCAAAAATGTTCCAGATTTGTTTCGTCCACTCAGTGAAGCGCCTGGCTTTATTTTTTATTTAAAGGATCGTGTCTCCTTTGACGTCACCGTGACAGCGTCTTCATCATTAACCACCTCTTTGCCCATGAAATTGACCGAAACTGGTTGCTAAGACACACGTAATGGCTGCGTAATTAGTTTGCAGATTTTGGAAGAAAAAAAGTGTCTGTTTTAGATGGTGACGTCAGCCATACAATGTACGTCCGGTTTCTGCATAAAAAAAGTAAATTGCCGTGTTTGTTTACGTGCCACTTTTAAGCAGTCAACAGCTTTATCTGTCTAGTTAATACATCAAAGCTGTTGCTTTTTCTGATTGTTGGAGACTTATCCGTTGTTTAGCCATCTGTCATAATTCATGCGAGAGGGTGCTACAGTGATGCCCATCTTAGTCTCGATACCAGACCCGATGATTCTGAATACTCTACGTATCAAGGGTCTGGTATCATCCAACGTTCACGTGACCAATTAGACCTGAGGAATTCCTCCAGTTTTCCGGAAATAGCCGAAATATTCCGAAGTCGTCCAGTTCAAATTCGGCATGTTCGAATGGTACCGTTGATGTTCGGTAATTCCCGGTCGGGTAGGTAGGCTAGCTGTTGAACGTAAACTCCTGTATCCTAATGGCAGCTGTTCATCCTACAAATATTTGCCTTTATACATGTAGGGCCTAAATCGAACTTTCTTCAACCAATGCAGGCTTTGCACCTGAAACATGCTCTTAGTGGGGATACACTTGCAGTATTGCCAACTGGATATGGGAAAAGCCTCATTTTTTGAGATGTTGCCACAAATCGAAAACACCCGGGTTCTCAATCTCTGACCCCTGACCCTTGCGTCATATCCGTGGGCGATGCCTGACCTAAGATTTTTTATCAAAAGTCATCAGTGAATACTTGGGCAGGGAACCAGACTATGCCCATCTGAGATTGATTTGACAGAAGAGGGCGTTCTGTAACCTAGAAACAAGCGTATGAGGGCATTGCGCTTGCGTACGTGTGTTGTTCACCGTTTATATCTGTCAGTGTATTCATTCGTTTGAATCGCTCTGACGGGCGACTGCACTGCGAGGGGCAGCCATTTCAGGATACATGAAGTAATTTAGCACAAACTGAATAGAAATCATTCGATAAATAACGTGGTCAACTTGACTTTTTGCGCTGCGAGACAGTTGTGCTTTGATTGTACAGGCGTTGATCAGGACAACTTTGCAATCCTATAGCTGTGACATTTTTCCGTCCCTAAATTCTACGAAGGGTGTAAGCCCTTCCCAGCGCCCTGCAAGGACAGTTGGGACGAGCAAAATCTATATATACCGCCGTTTGTGAAGGATAATCAGCTGCAGAAAATAAACTAGCTGGGGGAGGTTAATGGAATTGGGGTCGAAGATAGACAGAGCCCAATCTGAGGCACGTCAGTCCGATCACGTAGCTTTGTTTCAAATGAGCATAGAGCATGGCCCACATGTGAAATGGACTTATTTCCAATCTACGCTAATAATGAGTTTTTCCCGTGTCTCACATGGGCTCTCCTGCACCAGCAGTGGAGAAAAGCATGGTTGTTGGTCAAGAAATAAATTGGTTTCGTGAAAGAGTTGCGATCCACCTCGTGCCCTTGCTGTCTGCCGTAATTTACCCGTCCTTGCATTTTCAGATGAAGACGGAAGCCGGCATGAAATGAGACAACCGTATCTGAAGGTTTTTCCTTTTTGCATCGACTGAAGAACTTGAAAGAACAAAATTGGCGTCTGGGGCATTTGTTCCTCATTAAATTCTGTAAAGGATATCGGATGAATTTCCCAAGGAACACTGTAAAATATGAAAAATTTTATTCAGGAAGTAAATTTTAAGAAAATTGGTCGAATAATAACTACCTCGACTCTGGGCGCCTTCTTTGTAAGAGTCGATATTTACGTAGATTAAGTCACACTGGCCGGCATTCTAAACTAAGGCCTTTAAAGGTGTGTCTCTGGGACCGGAAAGATCTGGGGAATTCTACCTCTTGTGCTTGATTTTTATGGATCACAGAATGTCTGGGAGCTTTTTATGAAATTCTTATGAGACCATGGTCCACTGCAGCCGATGCCTTTACCCTATCCCAGCAACAAACACCTTCTCCTCCCGCCAGAAATATTGTCTGCTTGATAACCGAAGCAGACACCCTGCTTGCAGTGATATCTATAATGATTTTATCCCCGTTCCATTCCCTGTAGCGACAAAGAAAAAATGGACGGGCGCCCACTGGTCCAGGCCAAAGGGGAGCCCTCCGGCACGAGTATGTCAAGGTTGACTGGAATCGCAAATCAGGACGTGAGAACTCCGGCAAGGGAACTGCGAGGCATGAAATGTAACAGCCAACCCACGAGGGAACACGTCTCTGCTGGAGGTAAAGAGACTTGACCCATGGTTCGGTCTAATGGGATGGAAAGCGCAGAGAGTGATATGCTTACGTATTAATCTTATTGCCTACTCTGCGTTTCATGTTTGTTTACGTTGCTAAAGGTCAACTGAAAACAAAAACTGGACACGCCGGCCGAAAATCGTGAATAATTAAAACCTACTCAACAAGAATCAACACAGAAGATAAAGCTCCTCCTTGTCAATACCATATTGGCGCCGGCAATGAACAACACCAACTGCAAGCGACCGTGATTTTGTTCGCTGCACCCGGTCACTCCTCTGTAGTAAATAATCTCGGTGCATTTAACTCCTGTAAGCCTCAAATCACGATTGTCACAGTCGTTCTCCACCGGAAGGGTACTTGTGAAATTGAAACAAAAGAAAGTAAAAATTCGTGATTCAAAGATGTATAAGAGGCACTGATCTCATGCTGTCAGAACGCACCATAAATCTTTCAGTCAGAGCAAATTCGTGATTACCCTTTCTTTAAGCTTTTCTGTTGAATCACTTTCTTAATTCCCATTGAATTACCATAGTAAATGCATAAAAGATGTTATCCCCAGATGTTTTAAAGTTTAACGAAAACTTTTCTAAATCTGTCTGAATCCAGACGTGTGAGAAAAACCCTCCTTGGAGACGTTCAATCAAGAATAAGACTGGTCGACATGGATTGAGCATTTTGGATTACATGTTTCAGGTCTAAGAAGGGAGAAATGTCGCAAATTTGGACTCAACTTTGACGTTTGACTATTCGAAAAACACATTGGAATCTCAGAAGGTCTAATTATCCGATCATTCGTTTTTTGAGTGACGAGTAGCTACACAACAAATACATGTAATGACTGCGCTTTGACTGAATAATCATGTAGATATGCTCCAGTTATCTGGTACAATGCTTGCTGTCTTTAAACTCCCCCAAAACGAGCCATATTTTCCCAAAGCCTCCTTTTTGAATTTGCGTCCTGAACTGACGTATGTTTCTCGTAAAAATCACTTGAACGTCGTGACACTTCGTTTAAGCCTGATTAAGTAGGAAATCCTGTTACGAAAATCGCTGAAAATGTGACTTTTTAGTTCTTTGGAAGTATAGGGGAGGTGTAGAGAATTTGGATTACTTCTTTTTCAGTATTTTGGCTCTACATTTTGAAATCGGTATGGTTTTTGTTCCATAGGCCTCTGTACGTGGACCTCCATAATGCTGGCAATGAAACTAGGGGAGCAAAACGACTGCTCAAAAATAATAGATGGGGAACAGAAGGAGGAAAACACATACTGTTGTGGAGCTGCTTGTAAAAGAGTGTGATGTTAAATTGTGTAAATCACCCTGGTAGCCTTATGGGACAATACAGGATGGGCGCCTTTATATGTTGTAGCAATATTAAATCGAATCAAACTAAGCTTAATTTAATTGATTTGAATTGAGCTGATGAAATTTGCATTCCTATCTGCTCCGCCGTATTCAGGACAGTCGATCCTTTCAATATCATCTGCCTACCTTGAGTGAGGAGATGGCTGTGATTGATGAAGAGCGCAACAGCCCGACCATATCGCGGCAATTAATCCAGCCGTCTGTCATTGTCCCTAGTCCCTTCTTTTCTAATCCGGGCCCCGCTCGCTTGAGCCGCATCACTGGCTGGTCCCTCGGAGGCATTCCAACCTCATTTCTGAAATTGATCCTGCCTAAAGCCAGTCCGGTGTTTCCTCGGAATTAACGATTGTCATGCGATAATTATTTTCTACTTCGACACCTCTTCATAAGCAATCCACCTGTACCTTGTCAATTTGCAAGATATCTAGTCTAATTTCTGTAATTAAGGTTATTATTCCGAAAATGCGACGAGCTCTTTTGCTCCTAATGGTGACTGTATATCCTCGGTGTTTTCTTAAAGCTAATCATATAACAAAATTTGCTTTCCCCGTCAATCAGTCACCTGGAAATTTTAGAATTTTTTTAACAGTTATTTGAAAGAGAGGAGTTCCCTTCATGTTACCTCGTTACAATAATTAACCCAAGCGACCTCTTCGCACATAGGAGCAAATAAAAACTCGAAACTTGCCATTTGGCGCTTTTTTAAACAAACATCTACACAAACGATTTTTTTAATGACGTATGGGTAGGAGTTGTATACGCTGCAAGGATAATGACCCAGGGGAATAAACCAACGAGTCACGAAAATAACAAATGAGATGATATCCACGTTCAAAAACAGCTTACATTTGTCGTGATTTGGGGCAGGTTGGGCAAATGATTGCACACGGATCTAGAGGAATTATCAGTCACGATCCAGAGATTGGAAATTCTGATGCTGGTTTTTAAGAGGGTTTATAAAAGGACGGGACAATTCAGAACCCGATTCAGAATTCGATCCAGTTGTACTACGGTCGGCGCCTTTCACAAAATAACCAACGGACTGGACTCCTCAACGGTGAGTTTGTCCTTTGGTTTTCTTCCTTAGCAATGTAAACTCAGATATCTGACTGAGAAACCAAATTTATCTGCAATTTTTTCGACATTTAGAAAATATAGATAAATTCACTAAATCCTGTTCATTATTTTGAAAAAAAAGTTTACGATTAATTTGAAAACTTTGATTATCCTTAGGCATTGAAAATGGCCATCACTCGCTTTCGTCTTATCGGTTCCCTTGTCTTGAGCATTTTATTCACTATGTGCCCTGCCGCGCCATTGGATAACGCCGACGAAGACGAGGGTAATACGTCTCCTGATTGGCCAGTCCAAAACACAGCACATTTCGAGTTCGCTCCACTTCAAGGTAAGGTGTGAGGATTGATTTGTAAAGCTACTGGGAAAGCCTAAAGCCGTGTCCGAAACGGGCTTCCAGATCTATGGCTAGGTCTATTGTCTACGCACCTCCACGCATTTCTAATGGAGTGAAGACCTAGACCTAGCTCTAGACAAGAGATTTGGATGCAGCCTAAGTATATATTAAAATATAAATATCTGAAAAAACTTTCATTTTCCATCTCCATAAACTCCTGATAAACACAAGGGCTCTAGTGATGCAAAGATTCCTCATACATGCTCTTGTTGTTTAATTAAATGTCCTCTATATGAAACTCACGTTAAATAAATCAATTTCTGTTAAGAAAACTCCTGATCGTGTTTTCACACCATACATGTAACAGAATCTTTGCATCAAACCTGCGGACTTCCTGTATGGAAAGATAAATTACACTTCAAGAAGACATTAAGGCGCTGCTCATTTCGTTGGAAGTCGAAAAACACAATACTGTTACAACCGCTTCAGTTATCAGTAGTGCAAGTCTTGCTTACTTCCCCCGATTGGACTTTCTGTTTTAGCGTATTGAAGCTGTTCCCATGTAAACACACAATCGAAAGGATTATGTCCACCACTTTCAGTTAAAACTGAGGCCAGGTTTTTGCATCTTTTCGGCCTGCGAGTTGCAGCGGTGTAACAAAATTACTGAACATTTGACTTCCGTGTAGCTGCAAATTGTAATACATGGTGCATTACATGGTGCAGGATTATGTTCTACGCGCGTTTATCATGCATTCGTGTATTTGAAATTATTGTCCTGTTTTTGTTTTTTTCTTCATCCATCTTTTTACAGGGAGCGCTAACTGTAGCCTTCCGAAACTTCCGACACTGGGTTTCGCAAGACTTTAGAAATTAAAAAACCCACATGCGAAATCAGTGCATTGAGTACATTGTTCTTATGTGAAAGGCGGTTCACCACATTATTTATCAGTAGGCTATTTGTAGCAGTGGGTGACCAGCCAATGCTCATCTTTCTCTCTTGAGCAAGGAAGCGCGCAAAATTGACGCATGCGTTATTCCATAGGAGTGACTTTGATATTTGTTGGACGAATGCCAATGTCATTTTAAGTGGATGCTTCCAAAATTTTCCATGTAATTGTTGCGTCTTTGAAAGGCTCACCGTACTTGGTATTGGTGAGGAAGGCGTTGGACCCCTTTGTGGTTAAGCAAACGTTTCAGTACACCCATTACAACCTTAAACTTGACGCACGCTTTACACCGTATCAGCAACTTCTTTCGACAAAAGGACGGTTCAATTTCGCGCCTTTTTGTGTAGAGGTGTTTTCTTCTTCTGTTCCGGTTCCGGCTTTGGTTCGTGCTATCCCGGCTCGGCTTTGTTCCTCATTCCAGGGACCTTGTTTACTGTTCCTGCAACTTGTCAGACTTCATTTGTGATTTCTGAACACCGATTAATTTCTCACTCCCTAAGGACACCTGTATCTTTGATTCTTTTTATCGATCAGGTGTTCTCACTTTCAGATCTTTGTCTTCTACCAAATGGCCGTGGTTTGAAGGGACGATGGGAGTCGAATTGTTTAAGAATCTCTTACAGTTTATGACTCTGTAAAACCTGTTGCTGGCCAATTCAACCATGCTGACTTGTGAAATGCCAAGCTAAAATATCAGAAGTCATGGAAGGAGAGAATTGCAAAGCCGCTGTCCAAAATAGTTGTCAAAAAAGGTTGGATACACAAATGTTGCACCGCAGGGCGTGTGACCACAATTTGCGACCACTGATCTGTTGACTCCTTTTTCATAATGGCATTGTTCAACCCATGTGTAGGTTATGTTTGTCTCAAACCCAGGTATCATTTTACAGGGTACTCACTGACGGAATAAAGAGAATAGTACAACTGTTCACGGCTTTAACGATGTCATACAGCATCATTGCCCCATATCCGTTCTAAAGATTGGTGACATTTCTGCGTGTCATTATTTTCTTCTGCATCGTTAAAACAATCGACTTTTTTTTTTGTACCTGCCAGTCTCTTCACAGCTAAAGTGGATTAGTAGCTGGGGTCAGCAAAGGTCCCCTTATGAGGAAACAGTTGTCACAGCGACTGCAGTTTTGCTTTGGCTATTGTATTTAAAAAGAAGACAAAACTTTCGAACACACACCTACAGATCTTGAACCAAGTCATCTATTTCTTTGGTCCCCGCAGGAGCACAATTCAAGAGGGCTCGGTTAACGGGTATTTCACCGTTTGACCTAATTGGAAAGCGGAGTAATTGTAAGTTTGCTTTTCTTTGAGAAGGCATGCATCCTACTCAGGAAACAGAAATGAAGTTCACCTGTTATCTCCTATTGCAACTTATTGTTTGTAGAACCTGTACTATTTCACCACTGACTGAGGAGCTTATGGTCTCAAGAATACTTTGTATATTTGAGCGTACTAAGCGGGGGTGTGAACATCAAAATGTCTTTTCTGTTGGCCCACAATGCTATTCAAATGCAAAATCAAACGTGTCTGAATGAGTCATGAAATTACGTGTATTTACATGTTGAGTTCCCTGATAAACCAACTCTTTGGAGAAGATTACAAAAATTTCTCAGTTGTTATTCTCTGCCAATCATGAAGCTTATAGAGGGACTTCCCTCATACTGCGAACCTATGATGCTAGACTTGAGTTAGATCAACACTCATGAAGTACCATTCAAACTCAAGCCATGATCATCAAAATTTCACAAAAAGAGCCGGAACAAGTTATTTAATAATTATTGTTTAAGATCCATTTTGACGTTATTTTCTGTATCAGATGATGCTAAACGAGCACGGCTTACAGGTATCTCGCCATTTGACCTTATAGGGAAGCGAGACGAAGGTATATCTCTACAAACTTTTGTTGCTTTCAACTTCTTAAAAGTTAAAATAAGACTTTGTGTTATTTATGATTGACAGAATTATGCGGTGTGGATTTTACACCCTAATGTAACACTTTAATTTATTGTGTTACCTTTAAAGCATTCTAAAGACTCGACGCTCTTGAATTTCATGCTGATGAAATTCTCATTATTCTTACCAGCCGAATATTGGTTTTGATCTCAAACATCTCAACTCGAAACTAACGGGGGGAATGCATGTATTTTTCTCTGCCTTATTTAAGTTTATATCGTCCTAGACGTTTTCATGAAAAGAGCTTCACTGAGAAAATGCCAGCTGTTGATGTCCTCAGAAAAGTGGTAAAAATAAATCTCCAGGCACCTCCGTCAGTGTTTTTTTTTTTAATTTTATGTCTTTTTATGTGTTTGGGGTATATTTCATCCCGTTAAAAACCATGTTGTGGTCTTATGACTTTCGCTCTTATTTCGAGAGAGAAAGTTCACTCTGACAAAAACTGGGGACCCGACAAATTTCAGTCAAAATAAGTCAGTCAAAACAGCCTCGATCCGTTTTCACTTGGCATGGTCTCATTTTATCGAACAGAACTTTTTTTCTTACGAAATCCTCTAATGCCTTATTTCAATAGGCTCTGAGTAACCTTAACTCCTTAGAAATAAGATCATTCAACCCTGTTTGGTCCACCACTGAAAATCTGCTCCACCCTTGATGTGGTTGGGGAGGGGGCGTAAGGCTTTGTAACCATCTCAACATCCTCGCAATCCCAGTTTCAGTTTCCCCTTTTCTCAAATAAAAGAGCTGTTTTCAGAGTGTTGTGCTGTAATTTACAAGCCCCCTCATTTTTCTTAGGTCAACCGCCGCACCTTGTCCCTTTGTGTGTCTTCAAGCCAGCCCTCCCCCGACAAATTTTAGAATGCCTGTCTGTTCTTTGACCTATAATCTTGGTTTCTTTGTGACCACTCAACAAGGTTTTTCTTTACTTTTACAACGTAGACGCATTTGTAAAGCGAGCTCGGCTGACAGGGATTTCGCCCTTCGATCTCATCGGCAAGAGAGCATATGGTACGATATACATGTTTTTTAAAATTAAGGGAACAGAAGAAATGTTGCTCTCTCTTCGCTTCTCAGTTCACAGAGGAGACCCTAGTTACCAAACAAAATCTGGGATAAATTTAAATAATGCAAATGAAGTTGATGTATATTCATGCTGATGAATTCCAATCAAAGCTCGTCAGAGTCAGTAGATTGAATTGACAGCTGCAAACAAGAAGACCGATAAATACCATGTTCATCACTATTCATTTCATATTGGAATTTCTTGAAAGGAGACTATTTGAAGCGAGCTCGACTGACTGGGATAAGTCCGTTCGACTTGATCGGCAAAAGGGACGAAGGTGAGGCACTGACATAAACGTTTGGAAATTTTAACATTAAATTTGAAAAACTGAGTCAAAGTTATTCTTTGGCCACCTGTTTCAATTGGATTTATTTATGTGCTTCTTGTAAAGCAGATGTTCTGAAGCGGGCCAGGCTGACAGGGATAAGCCCGTTTGATTTAATTGGCAAGAGAGCTGAAGGTAAGGTTAACCTCTTTTTTGTTTTGGTTTTGTTTTGTGTTTTGCTTGGGTTTGTTTTTGGTTTGTCCGTGTTTCTGGCCTTACTCAATCACTGAACTGTGACACATTCGGATTCACTTATTGTGGTATATCATTCCATTGCATATCTTGCTTGTCACAGGAATCTTTTCTCTGTTGCTTTTTTTATTTTCCGAAAAAAATCTTGACTGTTGAAACTATTTTTATATTTATCCCAGTTGCAGGTAAGTTGGCTGAAATGACAGGGTAATCCCTTTTGATTTAGCCCGCTTACATGCATTTGAAAGAGAACTGATGGGAAGGGGGCAGTTGAAATGATTAATTACAAATACATTCAAAAGGTTATGTTTACATACCTTTCGACCTTTAACCGAAATCATGAGTATCAAATATCCATTCATCTGTCCTGCGCAAGCAAAAGCAGTAAACTCAAATTATTACAGGGTTGCATTGACTAACTAATTTACTATGTGATTACAAGAACCTTGTCATACAAAGGATTTGGACAAAGGAATGAAAGAGAAAGGGGTCTTCAGAAGTAGCTCTTTCTGAAAGTATATTGTTCCAAAGTGTTTTGAATGTGGCAAGTCGAATGTAAACTGCTGCTACCTATTCGTATATGTGGATATGTACTGAATATATTAAGAGTTTTATTTTTCACATTTCCACAAACAGACAGTTTTAAGAGAGCTCGACTGACCGGAATCAGCCCGTTTGATTTGATTGGGAAAAGGGAAGACGGTAAGAAAACAGAGCTGTAGTTTAGTTTATAGTTTATAGAACTGGCTTCAGTCTTGATCGTTAAACTTCGCACACCTGATTTAAGCATCAATTGAGAAGGCTGGACACCCTGTTCATTGCAGCCACTTGTTACCCATAGATTGCAGCCACTGCAAATTGGTGGTTTACAATTGTTTTTATTAAATAAAATTTATTCAAATCGTTATTTATTGCATGAATGTCACCGCTGTTTATGGAAAATAAGTATTTTTCAAATCATGAAATAATTTGTTTTCTGTTAACGTCACTAAAAAAAGCAGAAGGGGTTCTACAAATTTCAAAACTAACTTCTGTGCACTTGACTTCGTTGCTTTATCCTTGAATCATGGGGGTGAATTATGGCATATATTTTCGTTTCTGACTTTCAGAAGTGGCAGATCTGGAGCTTTACAAGCGCCCTAGTTTGACTGGTATTAGTCCATTCGACTTGCTTGGCAAACGTCAAGAGGGTGGGTAAATATCAAAGCCAAGGGGCTTGGCTCAACCTCTTTTCCCTTTTCATTTTAAAACTGAAAGCTTTCAAAAATAAGATCAAAGAATAAGGGAAAATGTTGGGGGGGGGTTTCTCGACAACTTGCAACCTGAAATGACAGACAGTAAACCACACTAATCTTTAGCATAGTAGTTACACGGAAAAGGAAAAAAAGCCGCTTATAAATATAATCCCTAAGCGTGAGACATGAGACCATGGTGCAGTGCAACATCTGTAGTGTTAGATTAACACCCATGTTGGGATACACTAATGGCCCTATATTATGAGTACCACCTGGTGATAACTCCACCGTGGTTTCATTTATGCCTTTGGAATCTCTTGAAAACCTGTAAAAGTTCACAAGTTTTAATTGAACTGGCCCTTTGAAAGACACACACAACACCTAACGCATATTGCAGAGCTGTGAGACAAGAAACAATTTAACAGTTTAAATTGATGACGAAAGAAGCCAAATCCTCTAGGAGCTAAATTATTGATAAATGAAAAGCCGTCACTGATATTCAACATTAGACCAAAGAAGCATATCGAACACCTGTACATTTGTAACGAAATGTTACAGCGGTACATCAAGTAATTTGCTTTTAACCGTGCACAGCCTCGATTTCATTTTTTAACTGTTACAGAAATAGCGACAAAAGCACCCTACCTGTTCAGTCTGCCAAGCCTGTCCCATCTGAAAATGGGTCGGCTGACAGACACTGATGCGTACTACTAGCCAAGGCAAAGATCCCAGGGTGACGAAATTGCAGGGAACGCTTTGAGCAAAATACCTAACCGTCTTGTTGGGATTTCTGTTCACGTCTCTGCATCCACTAGCCACAACTGCAGCGGTGATCAATCTATACAATCAGCAATCTCAACAGAATGCTCCCACACAGGGCGACTGTCCCTTACTGATAAAAACAAAATCATCTTTACAGTAATGAAATACGACGCACCCGCTTCAAAGATAAAATGTATGTGCAAGTTAAGAGTGTCTTTGCTATCAAATTATGTCAATGTATACTGTTTGGGGACTTATTTGCACACTAAGGTGTTTATTTCTTTTTCTCTATGTATCAGTTTTTGTAACGGGAGTTAATATGCAGGAAGATTTCAGCGAGAGAAACAAGATTTTGTTTTCCACAAAAGCATGTTTAAAAAAAAAGTTCCCTTGAGTTTGATATCTGTTAAGAATTGCAAAGTACCGGTTCTATATTGGCTGAGAAAATCCGTGTAAATTTGATTCTCAAAAAGCTATGAATGTAGTTTTAACACAGGGGGCGTAGGTAAGGGCGTAAATCTCCTGGGATGGGGGATGCATCCCTCAAAAAAAACACGCTCTTTGACCGGGACTGACGTAAAGTGCGAGGGGCGAATTTGCACAGCAGTCACCGTTTGCACCGACTTTGAAACCCCGGACATTTTTGCCATTAACCACAGTTCTGTGCATGCTTTGGGGAAGAATTGAATTTTCTGAACTCTGAGTGAATTTTGAAATGAATTCCCTGAGATCTTTAGTTGTGAGGTGGCAGTTGACATTTTGTGCTATATGTGTCAGGATGTTCCAAATTACTTTTGCTAACATGTAGTACCATCGGTCATGAATTAATTGAGCCTCTGTTTGCGAATAATTATGGCCACTAACTCATTTCTTCACGTGTGCCTTACATACACAGCGTAGAGTAGCTAGTTTCCCAAAGCACTTTCATTATGGCAGCTAACAATCAAGCGCGCCTCGGTGAAAATATCGGACCAAAGCAAGAGACGTTTTCTGACACCATCAGAAGTTGCTCAAAACACATTGACGAGTAACTGGTATGAGCATAATTATTTATTAGCTATCCACAGATACCTTTTTATAAATGATACACGGCAAATCACATTTAACCTCGGGAAAGGTGATTGGAGATTTTCCTACCATTAGAGCCTCAAACAGCGCCACCTTGCAGTTTATTTTCAATTATTGTAACATGTGATTGGTTTCTTTGGTACACTCAAGCTATTACATAAATTTGTAACGCACTGCTAGAGTTGTATCTTCCAGCGTCTATTATGGCAACAGCTACAAAAAAATGCATTAAAATCATTTTCCTGATGAAAATACGATTTCAAGAAGATATACATAACACGTACTCCAGTTAACTATCAGTGTCACAATCTTATTGTCGGCAGTCAAATTATCGACCAATCTTCACCTCTAGGAATGATTTGCCAAGTGAGGTCATCAAAAATAGTTCCTCGCCACATATAAGGCAGTAAATAAATGACTCGACAAGGCTTATGCACCTTCAGTGTCATCACTGAGTGCTACGTAATTGTTTCCATTAAACTGAGAATTTTGCAGCTCAATTTAATGTTCAAGGGTTGTTATTAACGACGTTTCTCTCTCGTTTGTGATAAACAGCTTTTGTATGATAGTGACAAAGCTCTTGCAACAAGCATGTTGAAGTTACGTTTTCGTGCACTGACCGATTCCGTTGCATTTGCACCTTTCTAAGTCTTCGTGTTTCCATTTTGAGATGATGAGAAGTTCTTCAACTATGAGCAACGTTTGTCCCTAAAGTTAACCCTCTCAGTTATCCACCTTCTTTGAAATTTCTTGCCGTTTGAAGAATAGGGATGATTACTCTGGAAAGGACATTCGTGGCTTCGTGGGAATCGGACAAGTTGTTTTACGCATATTTTTCATTGCTTAATGCATGATTGAGTTTCAATAAATAATCGGAACTTTAAATGTGAAACGGAGCATTAAAAGGTAAAGTAAAAAGAAAAACGTGTGGAGAATTAGGAAAAAATTGGCAATATTTGTGAATGCGCACAGGTTTGCTGTTGTGTACCGTGGCTTTGGAACAAAATTTAGTAAAAACGTTACGGTTGTTATTTAAAAAAATCCCTATCTATGTTAATATTTATATTAAAAAGTAGTAATTAAGGCTGTCTTGCAGTTGTGTTACCGAATTACGCATATGTTGTCTCGGCCTATACATTATATTGATGTGTCTATAAAATCCAGAAATATAAAAAAAATCCTTTAACTCATAAACCAGCGACTAAGTTATTACAACACAGCCAAAGCCCTCCTGCAGGTTGAAGATAAATTTCGACCCGAGTGTTGCTCTCCAGGCCAGCCAAAAGTATATCCGCCTTCGTCCCCAGATTACACGAAATGTAATCCACTGGCAAAGTGTACTTAATATTCCCGCGGCTCTTTGGGTACATTCATGGAAGCCCACCGTCCATTTCAATAATCGGTGTCCATAAGTGTATCTTCATGGATTGGAGTGTAATATTTCACAAGCTGAGGGAATTCTGAAAAGGTTGTGTTGAGTTTGCCGGCAGTTTCTTCACGCTTTTTTGTATGCAGGGTGTACTGGAGGTATGAAATCGTGCACAAAACAATTATTAGTGAGTGAGGGGAAGAAGTGTTTCTCCTCTTAAAGTGAAAAGAAATTGCCATTGTGATAGGACATTTTATTGCTCTTACTGGGGGCCCCGTTCGTGTGTACTGGTTCTCTTTCGGCCGCTGCTGAAGACGACCCTCGTGTTGCAGTGTGCATTGCTTGTGATGGGTAGTATTATGTTAAATCCATTTCTTGTCTATATTCCCATCTGTGTTCCATCAACCATTTTTGGAATTTTTATTTGGCTATTTTAAGGGCATTTGGAGGCAATTTTATGCAGGCGAATATGAATAAGTTGAACATGAGGAAAGTGATGCAATTTCCGGAAAATCCTCAATGTTACAGGCGTTTTATCCTTATATCTGGACAGAATTTAAAAGTAGGCTAAATTGTGCATAATTTTCTCACAAATATTTTCGATGAGCAAATTTTTTAGTTCAAAATGACATCACAAAATGACATCACAGAAGCAACGATCTCATTCGTCAGAAAATGGAAACGACATGGAAAGTTGAAATTTTCAAAACGGCACACTTCAATCAGGTTAAAAGGATGTCAAAGGGTCCTTATAAGCATATCTGTCAAATAAATATTAAGTTGCTAACAATATGTTGCCAAGTAAAGTTTTAATCATGGCCCTTTAAACCGTTTGATTTATAACACCATAATTCTTTTTACTACTACGCGTTTGTCATAAATTTCCTATTACACGAATTCTATATACCTCTGATAAATATTCCATCAACATTTCACGCTTTTAACGGGAGAGACCTTGAATGTTGGATGAATGGTGAATGAAAGGTTTGTGGTGGCGAAAAGGGAGTATTATTGATTTATGGCCAAAAAAAAGCCTAGGAGGTACTGAAGCGAAATATGGCGGACACTGTGAAAGGACTATCCCTTTTGGTATATAGGAACTGCGACATCACTGACTTCAACACCAAGCTCGTGTGAAAGTGGAAATCTAGTATTCCTTATTTCGAAATTCTCTCATCACACGGGTGAACTACACAGTGTATACACAGAGACGGGGCTTTCTATCCTTACGGGGAGATTTCCATTTTTTTCCTCTTGTACCAAAAGCACAAATGTGCAACGTGCTGTATTCACCTCATTCCCAGTTGAACCTGAATCAATTTTCTGAGTTGACAAACATATCCTTTCCTTAAAATATTTCATGAAACATGAGATAACTTAAGAAAATTTCCCCAGGAGGAAATGCTAATTAACTATTTCGGAAAGTTTTTGTCGGGTAACGCGTAAGAGACTTGTAGGGTACTTCCTATCGCTCTGGTACCCACAAGATCCAATACACACACTCCATAGGTCTTTTTCAGTGCACGAAGTAAAAATTTCCCACCACCTCTAGCCTATTTACACAGTATGCTAAAGCAGGCATTTGTATGAATCCCACATTAAAGTCGTGTGAGGTTTGAATTCACGTCATAAGGACACACTCTGTTAATGTTATCAAATAACGCTGAGATGCAGTTTATATCTAGAAAGTATGATTAACCAACACACCCTACACTGGTCAGCACAGGGGTTTGTGTATGAACAGCATTGAACAACACTATCTACACCGGGCAGCACAGCATAAGACAGTCATTTGCATTCACTTAACACCAGTATCATACTAGGCCTGATGAGCACCACCCCTGTATCCTTGGCTAATTAGGAATGAAAGAACGCAACCCCCCCCCTTTAACTTTAACTTCTAATTGCATTGCCAATAACTCATTTTCGGATGCAAGGCATCGGCTGTGCTTGTGGCTGTCAGTAACGGACAGTTCATTGAAATTTTAAGCAGTAATAGTCATCGACCAAGGCAGGCAAAAAGACAGAAAGGCATTACATCTCACCGTGAAATTAAACGTACTTGGCTAAACAGAACCAAATATCTCAGGCTTAAAATATGATCTTTAGCATTTTTGCGAACACTTACTAATGGGTTGAAACGTCGACAAACTGGTCGGACATCACTTTCCCCTTTGAAAAAGCAGTATATCAGTGCCTTGACAAATGACAGATATTCTAAGATACTATTAGCCTAAAAATAGTATGTTATATCACTGCGTATATATAATAAATGTTTAGAGAGGAAAATATCCATGGGAATTCGTGTTCTGAATTACCCGTTTTAACACTTTCACTTCAAATTTGGGATCAAACTCCGGAACAGGTACATGAAAAACGATCAGCGCTAGGGGAAATGTTGCGCACTACAAGGAGAAGTACACAGGGAATATACTAATGAACCCCATGTAGCGTTAGCAATTAATATTCAATTTCGTTCGGAGGTATTTTGGCGCCAAATTGGTGAGACTGGTAATTATTTATTGTAGGTTGTTGACGTATAGAGGCATGTGTACGTGCTATCCGTGCGTGGCTCACAAACTCTAGGCCTCACTTTGAAGATACACACAAACATTACTTTGAAATGGACCCAATGGAGGACGGATGTCATAAAAGCTTCAATAGATTGAATGCCTAAACATTTCAACTTCTGTTTATTGTGGTTATTGGAAATGTCCATGACCCTATGTGACGCATTTCTCGTTTAGATTTGTGCTTGGCACATGAAGCTAAGGTATCAGTAATGAAATACAAGGAACCGACACTGGATATATTTTCCTCAAATCACTAGTTTCCTCCTAATGTTGGAACTACTTATTGTATGTAAATTAAGAGTAATATGCCAATCTCGAGTCTTTTTTTAGATTTCTATCTCCACATTTTGAAATATCGATGGAATTGAAAGCAGCTTAAACATTTCGATTAATGTGTAGGGTTAACCCCTTATATTTAAATTATGCCACAAAGTCTGAACCAAAAAATGAGAGAAAAGGAAGATTCAGTTATTCTTTGCTTTTACTAATTTCTGAGATTTATGAAGCTTTTATTAAAGATGTTTATTTTAAAGTACAAAGGTAGAATGGTAAGTGATATTTCAGTCAATAATGGAAAATGCAAGTGCAATCCCCTGCTATGAGTTTGTTGCAGCAGGCACTTTTCATACTTCAGATCCCTGGAATATCTCTGCGATTTGTCTTTGTCCAAAATGCTGGAAAGAAGCCTCCTGGTGCCAAAATGCTTGTGCCACAAAGCAAGGTTCTTGAAATGCTGATAAAATTAAAATGGCTAACACTTCAAAATGTGGGGGTATTGGCTTACCTTAAGTTTCAATAATGTTTTTTCCACAAAAGAAATGGCCTCAGGAAAATGCCACGGGGAAAAACGTTTTTGCGAGAAACGTTGCGTAGATATTGTCTTCGTATAAATAGTTTCCAAGTATTTTGAACAAGGATTATACTTTTGATAATTTCATACACATCACAAGGATATTCTGTTGTCTCCTCAATTTTCCATTTAACGAAAATCATTGAAAGAAAAAAATTGTTGTCCATTTATTTAAATTCACATTCTCCATGTGAACAAGCCCATGAAGTCGATTTTTGTTTTGTCAAAAAGAAAACATTGTTATGGATACTCGATAACTTGCTGATCGTACATCAGAAAACACATTCCAGAAATCTGGGGAAGGCTTTATTTTGGCAAACCTTTCATTAAAATGTAAAGTAACCGTCATGCCAAATTACATCATTTGGGTCTTGAATTTTTTCAGACGTGGATGTTCTTTAACGTTCTTAAATAATCAAATATAATTATATTCCGTCCGGCTACGAAAAATAAAAATTTCTAGTTCATTATATACAACATTTTCACATACCTTCAGCATTTACAATGGATACTGGCGCGCTGGTAAAATATGAAGGATGAGTGATAAAATATGGACGACACCGACTTTGGTATTTATTCTATTTTCAAACTGCAATTCAATGCCTCTTGAGGAAACATCTTCCTTTGGCAGCCGGCCTAATGGTGCACGAGGGCTTCCATTGCGCCTCAATTAAAACGATTTTCAAAAGCGTCATAATTTTCTGACCC